TAAAACAGCGAGTCAGGAGATTGTCTTCCTTGTTAGCCGACCTGGGGCTGAACAGCAGAAACACTACGCCACCGAGGCTCGTTTGCTCTGCACAAGCAGGCAGTTGTTGCTACTGGAGAAGTCACTTCGTGGTGGACAGCAGAACTTTGGGAGAACTTGCTAAGCCCTGTAAATTTCATCTTCAATGAACTGTGCTGTTGAATACCAGAGCATCACTGGAATTATTTTTCATTTCCAAACTCTACAGGCAGGGGATCCTCGGAAGGGATCTGTCACATGACTCTTGCTCCAAAAGCATTTTGAAGGGCATGAAGAGCAGCCAGAGTGTTCACCCTTTATAAGATAACAACAGTTTCTGGCACCAAGACTGCATTTTTCTATGAAGCACTGCACTACTAGTACAAATACAATAGACTTCTTCAGTGCTGTACAATAAAAAGCAAACACTTCTCAGTGGAAAGTTATTTGTAATTCAGTGCTATGAATAAATACAGTAGGTAGAATATCTTGCCATAGCTCACGTTTTTGATTCATTTGGGCACACAGTTCTCTTTTAAGAAAGTACAACTGAGAAGTTCCTTCAACAGTTCCAAGCACAACAGAAAACATAATAAAAACTTAACACCATTTTTTTTTCTTGTAGTTTAGGAGACACCTACAGTGTTTACAAACACAGGATAGTTTAGTACACACCACTCAGTACAGCACACTGACTTTTCCCACAATCTTTTCCAGATACTGGGGAGTTTCATATTTAGAATCCAGAGAAAACAATGCCTAAGTTGATTTTTAAAGAATGCTCCCACAATGTAAAACCAACTGAAAAAAGCCCCAAAGAACGCAAGAAGATCCCTTTAGCTTTCCTCCACACGGCCCTCTTCTCCGTCCCCAGCGAGGGAAGGACCTCTTGCATGAAGGGCAGCTGCGCGGGAGACAGACGATCAGTAGCTGACCCACGCCAGTGAGTTACACAGCAACCGTACTTGAGACTTCTACCGGGTGTTTACCAGATGATTTACTTTTCAGATCTCGGCGGTTTCTCTCTACCGTGTCTTTGCAGGCCCCGGTTTCAGAGAGACCCACTCGTCCCCCGGAACCGAAGCGGCCTCTCGGAAGGAACCGGGCTGAACTCCGGAGACGAAGCCGCCGCACGAAGCGTTCAAATCACCCCAGCACCTCCCGAACGCCCCGGTTTAACAAATTACCGCGGAAACCCAACTGCTGACGCGGTTATTAGGCTCTGGGGGACAGCCCCCCCCCCCCAC